ATTAAGTTGAATGGATTGGAGGAAGAAACCCTAAGGACAAGACAAAAGTTAATGCACTAGTTCAATATTCATACCTCATTGAACACTTTCCAGTTCATATTTGGAAAGCAATGTGGTATACTGGGAGAACATAGGTTTTGTAGCTAGGTGTCCTGATAAAACAAATGTGAATAAGCCCATCACAGTCTAGCAGTTTATAATTTTTCCAGGGGGACCAGTGAAATAGTAGTTGAAAACTGTTTTGTACTTTTTCTTCATCACCCCACCCCCATATCATTGTGCAAATTGTTGCACATGTAGCATCAGAAAACACAGATGAGGGAATGTTATACTTTTAAACATGTATAGGAATTAATCTAGGAACTTACTGAATATCTTTGTGTTCCAGGTACTCTCATATGGATTATTTCATTTGCTTTTTCACAATAAAAAACTCTTTAAGTAAATGATGTTAACTCCATTTAACAGATAAGAAGAATGAAATTAAGTGGTTAAATCATTATTCATAAGGGACAAAAGAAAGATGAGTGTTTAAAACCCAAGTCCGCCAAATATAAGTTTAATATTTAACCCACTATACTGCTGCTGCCATGAGGTAGCTAAATGCATGTACCCATTTCTAGCCCAAGTTAGTCTAAAGGGAAAGTAAGCCAAGTATAGTGTCCATAGATTATTAGCATATATCCATTTTGACCTCAGGGCTTTTATTTGTGTGTATGTGTATGTGTATACATACACATATATATATGTGCTGGATGACGAGGCCACGAGGAAGCCTTATTACAAGGAGTTCCGTAAGTTGGTAGAATACTCTCATGTGATTCTGGAACACATGTTATGTGTATGAAAAAATGTTTAAAGAGAAGGGATATATATGTGTATATACATACATATATACATATACACATATATATGTTTATATACATATACACATATATACACATACACACACACACACACACTCTCTCCCATCTAACCTTTGGGGAAAATATTAGTTTTTTTGTTTTTTTTTTGAGACAAAGCCTCACTTTGTCACCTAGCCTGGAGTGCAGTGGCGCCATTTCGGCTCACTGTAACCTCTGCCTCCCAGGTTCAAGCAATTCTGTATCTCAGCCTCCTGAGTAGCTGGGATTACAGGCACCTGCCACCATGCCTGGCTAATTATTTTGTGTTTTTATCAGAGATAGGGTTTCACCATCTTGGCCAGGCTGGTCTTGAACTCCTGACCTTGTGATTCGCCTGCTTTGGCCTCCCAAAGTGCTGGGATTACAGGCGTGAGCCACCACACCCGGCCAACAAATCACTATTTAAACTTCAGTATTAGCCGTGACGACAAATGGATTTTGTTGATATGCATGATCATGATTCCCAAATGATTAGTTACTGGTTTTACACTCATCCCAAGCTTCTTATCAAAATTATTATCAGGAAGTAAACCCATCAATTTATTTAGCCCAAAGCTTCTCAAACTTGCATGAGCATACAGATTACCTAGGGATCTTGTATAAATGAAGATGATTTTCAGTAGGATTGGGGTGGGGCCTGGAAGTCTGCATGTCTAACTGCTTCAGGTGATGCTCACACTACTGAGCCTGCACACTACACCTTTGGAGTACAAGTGTAGAATTTTAATTTTTGTCCCAAATACATAATTATTTATTTAAAGGTAAAACTACAGTGTGCAAACTATTTATGGTCTGTGCTTTTTTACACTTAGCCTTTATCCCTGTTTTCTGCATAAGTTTCATAATTATGATTTATATAAATCATAAAATTAATATGACATTAGGAATATACACCTATTCTCAGTTATTTCCCCATTCTAAATAATGCTGGATAGAATTCCTCTGGGCATATAACTTTTGCTATTTAATTATTTCCTTAAGATAAATTCCCGGCTGCATGCAGTGGCTCAGGCCTGTAATCCTGGTGGAGGGATTGGGAGGCCGAGGCAGGCAGATCACCAGGTCAGGTGATCGAGACCATCCTGGCTAACACAGTGAAACCCCATCTCTACTAAAAATACAAAAACTTAGCCGGGCATGGTGGCGGGTGCCTATAGTCCCAGCTACTCGGGAGGCTGAGGCAGGAGAATGGCGTGAACCTGGGAAGCAGAGCTTGCAGTGAGCCGAGATCGCGCCACTGCACTCTAGCCTGGGCGACAGAGTGAGACTTCGTCTCAACAACAACAACAACAAAAAAAGATAAATTCACAGGAGCAATTACCAAGTCAGGGGGTAAGAATATCTTTGCTGTTTAATGGGTAAAGTTTTGCAAGATGAAAAGAGTTCTAGAGATGGATAGCGATGAGAATTGCACAACATGAATGTACTTAATGCCATTGAGTACCATTAAAAATGGTTATGATGGTAAATTTTATGTTATGTGTATGAAAAAATTTTTAACTCTAAAGATAAGGGAGACACCGGCAGAGTCGGGCACCTCCAGGCTGGCATCTGGAAGTCCAAAGTCTGGACCCTAGCAGTGCAAGAACATCTGTTACCCTGTCTTCTCAGATCCCCGCCGGAAGTGTAGGAAGAGAGCAAGCAGATTTGAGCCTATCTGCTTTCAAGCTGGTGATCGTGATGAAACTTAGAAACAAAAATGAAAAGCCAGGTAAAGGTTCCAAGGGCTGTAAGAAGCCTGCAAAACAAAATGGGAAGAAAGCAACCTCCAAAGTGCCCTCTGCTCCTCAGTTTGTTCATTCCAATGATCATGCCACTCAAGAGGCTGAATTAAAGAAGAGAGTTGAGGAGATGAGGGAGAAGCAAGCTGCCCAGGAGCAAGAAAGACAAAAACGCAGGTCTATCAAGAGCTACTGTGAGGATATCCTAACACGCCAGGAGGAGTTTGAGTGTAAGGAGGAAGTTGTGCAGGAATTAAATATGTTTCCTCAGCTGGATGACGAGGCCACGAGGAAGGCTTATTACAAGGAGTTCCGTAAGGTGGTAGAATACTCTGATGTGATTCTGGAAGTCCTGGATGCCAGAGACCCATTAGGCTGCTGCTGCTTCCAAATGGAGGAGGCTGTTCTATGGGCAGAAGGCAACAAGAAGCTGGTCCTGGTCTTGAACAAGATTGACCTGGACCCCAAGGAGGTTGTGAAGTGGCTGGATTACCTTCGGAATGAGTTGCCAACTGTGGCTTTCAAGGCCAGGACCCAGCATGTCAGCTTTGGAGCTGAAAACCTCATGAGGGTTCTGGGGAACTATTGCCACCTTGGTGAAGTGTGCACCCACATCAATATGGGTGTTGTGGGCCTTCCCAATGTTGGGAAGAGCAGCCTGATTAATAGCCTGAAGCACAGCCATGCATGCCGTGTGGGAGCCGTTCCTGGGGTCACAAAATTCATGCAGGAGGTCTACCTGGACAAGTTCATCTGGCTGCTGGATGCTCTAGCCATTGTCCCAGGGCCCAGCTCTGAGGTGGGCACCATTCTGCATAGTTGCATCCACGTGCAGAGGCTGGCAGACGCGGTGACCCCAGTGGAGACCATCTTGCAGAGCTGCAACCTGGAGATTTCCAACTATTACCTCCTCTCTGGGTACCAGACCACTGAGCACTTTCTGATGGCAGTGGCCCATCATTTGGGGAAGAGAGACTTATGCAGTCAGGAGCAGGCAGCCAAAGCTGTCCTAGCTGACTGGGTGAGCGGGAAGATCAGCTTCTATAACCACCACCACCCACTCACACTGCCTGCCTATCTCAGCACTGAGATCATTAAGGAAATGACCAAGGTCTTTCACATCGAGAATACCGAGCAGGTCAATGAAGACACCATGGAATGCTTGGCCACTGGAGAATCTGATGAGGTGTTGGGTGACTTGGACCCACTCAAAATGGAGATCAAGTTGCTCCATTATCCGATGATGAAAATAGCAGATGCCATTGAAAATAAAGCCACCATGTATAAGATCGGAGATCTCACTGGGTATTGCACCAATCCAAATCGTCATCAGAAGGGGTGGGGCTAAACTCAATGTGGATCACCACCCTAAAAACAACAGTAAAGTGGATGTGTGCCCAGTGGACTGCTGCCCAGTACTGCGGAGGATCATGGGGATGGACTCCCTATAACAGGGCCAGGCTCTGGCATCCTCCCTAAAGAATAAGAATATGCAGAAATGTGCAGATAAAATCGCCAGGGAGCTGTCTGATTCCATGATGTCTGCCGTCAACCTCTCTGGCAATGTTGATGGCGGTGTTGATGACTAACTGTCTGATCTCACTTCCCTTCTGATCCAAGCACCAGTTCCAGTGGGACAGGGGATTACCAATGAAATAGTTTGGTTCTCCCTGAAGCATCTGTGCATTAAAAGAACCCTTCCACAACTATGTTTCTTTCTTCCCACTGTTCTCTGCACTCTCTCCAGGAAAAAGAGCCCCAAGAGACTGGAGCTGACAAACTCAATACCCTTTATTTAACCCCTACTCTGTTTTATAACAGAAATAAAAGAAGTATCAGCAGGAAAAAAAAAGAAAAGAATATAACCCCCCCAAAAAAATACCATTCTTTTGAAAAGAATGGTTTTTGGGGGTATTACCCCCAAAAAATATTCTTGGGGGATATTCTTTTGAAGCAATATTATTCTTTTGAAAAGAAAGAGCATTAATAAACCATTTTCCCTTTTAGAAAGAATAACCAAATTACACTGCCACCAACATGTTTACCTCGCTTGTACCAGTATTTAATGTCTTAACGTTTTTTTAATTTTTTTGCTAAATGGTCTAAAATGATTCTTCAAGGTTGAAGTCTGTATTTTACTTCTATTAAGATGGAAAAGTAAACATTTACCTTTGTGGTTTTTTACTATTTGTATTTCCTCTTTTGTTAAATGTACATTCATGTCATTGGCCCTTCTTCTGTGAACGTTGAACATTTTCCTTAAATTTAAAAGAGCCCTTTTTATAGCATAATATTTTAAGTATTTCTCCTAGTCTTTGTTGTCTTTTAAATTCAGATTTAAGAGATGAGTAACTTTATGATTTTAATCCTACAGGTGAACTATGGAAAAGTTTGTAATAACAGTAAAAAAGGATTGAAATTCACTGTGTCCTGTGGCTGCAGTTCAGAATTTGTTTTTGTACCATATGGTAGCACCATTGCTGTTTATACAGTTTACTCAGGAGAACAGATAACTATGCTTAAGGGACATTATAAAACTGTTGACTGCTGTGTATTTCAGTCAAATTTCCAGGTAAGAATGATACAGGAATTGAAAATGTTCAGCTAGCTAGCTTGCCATACCAGTTATATGTAAAAGAATAAATTATGATTTCATTCTGAGGAGTTATACTTTTAATCCACATTTGTAGTAGGATTTATTTAATAGAGACTAGCACAGTCTAGATTTTTAGATGGCATACAATATATGAATGAATCAATATAATGCTGTGCAACTTGATTGGTATGAATTCTCTTTCTTTTGCATATGACCTTCATTTATTTAACAATTGAAAATCTGTGGTGAATTAAAATAATTTCTTGCAAACAATCTTTTGGGTAAGAAATGAAATACAGGCATTTAATTATAAAATATAATTTGTATATGTTGGTTTATGTATGTGTGAATTATCTATTCTTATTTTCTATCAATGGCTAATAAAGGGAGGTTTTGAAGTTAATACAACCTATATAATTTCTTAAATACCCTGACTTTTGTTTGTTTTACATTCAGACCTTTTCACATCACCAATGGAGCAGATCATTTTTCATTTTTTCAGAGAACATTTGCACAAATTACCTCATGTACTCCTTTAAATGAGTCTAACATTGCAAGATAGTTGGTATTTTCCCTGTCTTGTAGGTAAGGAAAATGAAACTCATGTAAGTTAAATACTGATAGAATGAAAATTACGGATTATTAGAGCTCCAGGAGACTATCACTTTGTGAATCTCCTATTCATTCATTCTTTTTTTTTTTTTTTTTTTTTTTTGAGACGGAGTCTCGCTCTGTCGCCCAGGCTGGAGTGCAGTGGCCGGATCTCAGCTCACTGCAAGCTCCGCCTCCCGGTTCCGCCATTCTCCTGCTCAGCCTCCCGAGTAGCTGGGACTATAGGCGCCCCACCTCGCCGGCTAGTTTTTGTATTTTTTAGTAGAGACGGGGTTTCACCGTGTTAGCAGGATGGTCTCGATCTCTTGACCTCGTGATCCGCCCGTCTCGGCCTCCCAAAGTGCTGGGATTACAGGCGTGAGCCACCGCGCCCAGCCTCATTCATTCTTTAATACTGATTGCCTAATTTGTGGCTGACACTGTGCTGTAAGATATATAGACCTGATTTTTTAGCCAGTATATACCATTATGGCAATATTCATTATTAAAATATTTAAATATTGATGTATCCTACTGGCTGGTAAACAGCTGCTGCACCAAGCCCCCCAAGTGACTGCCAGCCTCAGCCCCTTCCCTGGGACCTCTTAGACCTCACCTTAACCCAGCAACTAAAAGAGGACCTACAAGACCCTACTCCAACCCTATGGCCATTATCTCTTACTAGTCAGCAAGAAGGTGTATACCAGTTGTTAAACATTTTTAGTGTTCTGAGAGAAGAAAACTAAAGCACTAGGGAGGTGACATGACTTGCCCCTAACCTGCAAGTAGTTATTGATAACACATGTATTTCTATTCAAAGAAATTATTAAAATATTGTCCCTCTTTTCTTGTCTAAGGTTACTTAGAGATACAGCCGAAATTTCATCCCAGATACTCTGACCACAAATTATTTCTTTCCACCAAATTGGAGCTTATCTAATACGTGTGCCTAGAATGGATTAAAATAGTGCCAGTGGTTGGGCACAGTGGCTCACACCTGTAATCCCAGCACTTTGGGAGGTCGAAAGGATCACTTGAGCCCAGGAGTTCCAGGCCAGCCTAAGTAACAGAATGAGGCCCTGTATTTACAGAAAATAAAAAAATCAGCCAGGTGTGGTGGTGTATGCCTGTAGTCCCAGCTGTGCAGGAGGCTGAAGCGAGAGGATTGCTTGAGTCCAGGAGATTGAGTGAGCCGTGTTCACAGCACTGCACTCCAACATGGGCAAGAGAATAGGAATTCATGAATCTAGGCTGGGATAAGTAAGTAAATTAATAAATTGAAAATTTGATGAGGATGAGATATTTACATAATCTCAATGTATCACCCTACAAAATATGAAGTACAAAACTAAAAACATTAATTTTAACCTGAAGAAGCCTGGCACATATCACCTTCATCAAATAATCTAAGTTAGCATCCCAGTTATGGGACATCACTTCTGTGATATCCCTGGCCAAATTGGATCACTCAAATTTAATCATGAGGAAACATAAGACAATCCAAATGTGAAGGACATTCTACAAAGTAAGTGGTGTATATCTTCAAAATTGTCAAGGTCAGAAAAGCCAGAGACTGAAGAACTGTTCCAGCTTGAAAACTGAAGAGACTTGACAACTAAGTGCAGGATGTGATTTTTAACTGGCCCCTTTTGCTATAAAGGACAGTATTGGAACAAATGATGAAACATGAATGGGGTCTTTAGATGGTGGTAGTAATATGAATTTTCTGATTTTGTTGGTTACTTTGTAACTACAAAGGAAAGTACCCTTGTTCACAGGAAAATTACACTGAATTATTCAAGAGTAATAAGGCCTAATGTTGGCAACTTACTCTCATATGACTCAGGGGAAAAAAAAGTCTTTTGGACTGCAGTTGTAACTTACATTTTGCGCTTATTTTTTAAGAAAATCTTATTGCCCAAATGAACTCCTCCATCTATCACAGACACTTCAAGGCTTAATGTAAATCTTTCTATCTCAGTGTTCTTTATTAGTCACTCTAATTTAAATGTTGCTGCTTTCAATATCTCTTTCTTGAACATGTACAGAATATCCTTTATGTCTTCACTGGGTGTGTTAATACTTATTGTGAATTGCCCTATAACCTTATCTGACCAAGTTATCTTGGGCATTACCTGGCCTTCTCAGGGAAATAAAATTACTCAAGGGCACTGAACATATATATTTTTGCATCAGCTAGTTTGTGTAGCCATATAGTCTAGATTTTGTAATACAGTCAACAAAATTTTGTAGTTAGGAAATTTGATAATGTATATCTAACAATTTTTTAAATCTACATTTTCTATAAATATATAATCTTATTTTCCCTTTTCCCACATCCTTAAATAAAAAACACAGTTATACCATGCCTCATATTGTTTTTGAGATGTACAATAATAAAAACAATTGTATAAAACAGCAGAGGAAAAAAGCCAATATAACATATTTCTTTGATTTTTGGCGGGGAGGGGCGTGAGCATTGTTCAGCCATAAGCAAACAGTATATCCATAGACATTGACATAGGCTGTGCATCACCCCAAGCTTCCTTATGAAGTAAACTTCTCAACAGGCATGGAATATACATCTTCAAGCTCTTCTGTTGAATTGCAGCCAGTTAGGCAGCTGTAAGTTAAATAAAACTTTTTGAGAACTTGGCCTGTTTTAGAAGCTCATATGGTTTCTTCACTGAAGTCTTTATTGAAGCTCAGTTATTTGGACACAGAAAGACAAACTCTTTCTTTCTCCGACATTAAAAATATATGGATACTATAATTGATAAAACTGCTAGGATTTGGGGTGTGTTTGTAAAATTTTCACACCATTAGTAAGCTTGACAAATCCTAATACTATTTTTAAATACAAAACAAAGCTTTACTAACAAAGAAACAAAGGAAAAAGAGCATCGGCCTAGTTTCTTTAGGGAGTAGAAATAGCATTAATCTAATTACTGTGACCTAATTATTTCAAAAATGGTATAATTCATTTCAGTTTGGTATCAGCTCTTGATCCACAATATCATCTTTGCCTGCTGTGTTGTAGGAACTTTACAGTGGTAGCAGAGACTGCAACATTCTGGCTTGGGTTCCATCCTTATACGAACCAGTTCCTGATGATGATGAGGTAAACATTATTTTCACAAATTGTATAGTGACTTCTAAATCATAAGAAATAATGTTTTGTTCCTTTATATGAGAGAGACTTTAAAGCATTTCTTGCCAGTGGCATGCACCTATAGTCTCAGGTACTTGGGAGACTGAGGCAAGATGATCACTTGAGCCTGGAAATCAAGACCAGCCTGGACAATGTAGTGAGACCCCATCTCAAAACAACAACAACAAAAAAGCATTTCTTGGCATTTTCTGTAAAAATAATTTGACTGTTTTAATACATTTTGAAAATTCAGAGAAATATAAAAAGAACATAAAATTCCTCAAATCAAATTAATCAATATTAACATTTTGATTTGTTTCATAACTGTTTTTTCCTATGAGTATGTTTTTTTAACATAGTTCATATCATGGTTGGACATTCAACTTGGTATCTTACTTTTCTCATCAACATTGTACAATAAACCTTTTTTCATGTCATTAATAACTATGTGTAAACATTTCTAATGATATATTATTCTGTCATTGATAAAACACAATTTAAATATTTTTTTTTTTTTTTTTTTTTTTTTTTTTTTTTTTTTTTTTTGACGATTCCTGTTCCATAGTGCATGGATTGTACTTACTTTATTTCTGTCATTGATACAACACCCAATTTGTATTTATAAACTTTATTTCGATCTCCTATTGGAGGTCGAATGTTTCTTGGGGGTTGTTGATTATTATAAATATCAAGGTAAATATCTGTTTAAAAATTGTTAATATTTCTGACTATGTTTTTAGATAGATTCCTAGAAGTGGAATTATCTCTTAAATTATTATATATGACTTTTTTTCTTTTCTTTTTTTTTTTTTTTTTTTTTTTTTTGAGACGGAGTCTCGCTCTGTCGCCCAGGCTGAAGTGCTGTGGCCGGATCTCAGCTCACTGCAAGCTGCGCCTCCCGGGTTCCCGCCATTCTCCTGCCTCAGCCTCCCGAGTAGCTGGGACTACAGGCGCCCGCCACCTCGCCCGGCTAGTTTTTTGTATTTTTTAGTAGAGACGGGGTTTCACCGTGTTAGCCAGGATGGTCTCGATCTCCTGACCTCGTGATCCACCCGTCTCGGCCTTCCAAAGTGCTGGGATTACAGGCTTGAGCCACCGCGCCCGGCCTACTTTTTTTCTTTTCTTTTTTTTTTTTTTTTTTTTTTTTGAGATGGAGTCTCACTCTGTCACCCAGGCCGGAGTGCAATGGCGCAATCTCAGCTCACTGCAAATTCAGCCTCCTGGGTTCAAGCAATTCTCCTGCCTCAGCCTCCCAAGTAGCTGGGATTACAGGTGCCCACCACTGCACCTGGCTAATTTTTGTATTTTTAGTAGAGATGGGGTTTCACTATGTTGGTCAGGCTGGTCTTCAACTCCTGGCCTCAAGTGTTCCACCTGCCTTGGCCTCCCAAAGTGCTGGGATTACAGGCATGAGCCACCACTCCCAGCCGACATTTTTAAGACTTTATTCTCATGTCAAATTTTACCAGTTTACACCCCTACCAGCAGTCTGACAGTGCCTTTCATAGAAAATAAATCAGTATAAACATGACAGTGTAAATACAGACCTTAAAAACGCAGTAGGTAAACAAAGATGAACAAGACCATTGTCCCTGACCTAAAGTAATAGCTTCTGTATTTTTTTTTAGCTTTTGCATCAAGCAGTTGGAAGATACAGGCTGTTTAAAGGTGGTTTCTGTCCCACAAGGTTTATTCTCCTAAGCACTCTTAATCATCCTCATTTATCTTAATTTCTACAATATAAAAAATCCAAATGCAATGTCTAAAAACAAAGTTTATATATATATATGTATATTTCTTTAATTTGGAAATATAGATAATGTAGTTAGAAATACCTTAAGGTAATCTTAACCAAGTCATAGTAAAAGCATCTTAAATGGAGGTGGAGGAAAACTTACTGGTAAAGCACTTTTGACGTTCAAAAAACATTTTTCATATACTGTGTTTAGTTCCTTCATAAAACTAGGACTATGTCAAAATCCACATGAAAATATAATTTGTATAGAGGTAGTTGATAGCATCTCAGAGCTATTGACAATATGTATTTCATACCTAAATTTTCAACTGCTAGGGTTTACTGCAGTACAAACCTGTGAATTATTTTCTTTTGTCCTTAATCCAAAGAAAGAGAAAAAAAATACGCTTTGATAAATCTTTAAGTAGCCAGCCAATGCCATATGCATACTTCCAGATTTTATCACATGTCTAATTTGGTTTATTGTGGCTTGATTAACTTTAGCATACAGCTGCTTTTGATGTCAGAATATTCTTCTGTATAAAGCTTAGTATGGTCAAATAATTAGATTTAGCCATTTATTTTACATTTCATTACGTAATTATTGTGTCTTGCTCTTTGGGAATTGCTGTATACATTAAAACCAAGTTATAACACTGTAAGCCATGTTAGGAAGTTAACACTTTATTTACCAAATGAAAACATTAAAAATGAATGAAAAATCTATAGTGACTTACGTATAGAAAAGGATGTTAGAAGAATACTAAATTGTTTAATTCATAAAGATAATATGTGGCCAGGTGTGGTGGCTCACATCTGTAATCCCAGCACTTTGAGAGGCTGAAGTGGAAGAATCACTTGAGTCCAGGAGTTCAAGACCAGCCTAGGCAACATAGAAAGACCCCATCTCTACAAAAAATAAACAAAATTAGCCAGGTTTGGTGGCTTTCACCTATAGTTCCAGCTACTTAAGAGGGTGATCAAGTCGGAGGATCACTTGAGCCCAAGAGTTCAAGGCTGCAGTGAGCCACAATTGCACCACTATACTCAAAGCCTGGGTGAGAGTGAGACCTTGACTCAAAGAAAAAAAAGATAATATGTGACTGATGGTTTATTTCCTTGTTATGTCATTATAGTGATAGTTTGAACTCTTTGTGTAAACAAACTTGTATATATGAGAAATTAAGCAAAACAAGTTAGAAAATCACATAGAGATATACAAAAATCAAGTTGACCTTTGTATTTGTTTTAGTGCTATAAAACCTTACCTTTTAAAATGTCATGTTCATATATTTAAAGATAGCAGTCATTCTCATACTAATATAAAATGGTATGTGCTAAAGTTATTCCCGTAAAATTTTAGCTTGAAACATTCCTGTGAATATATGAATGTGATCATAATGCAGATCCCAGTAGAATAGTCTGTCCAGAAGACCCTATTCCTTACATGTATGTTTATAATTTAAGCCATGTTTAAAAGTGCTTTTATCCCAACTATAAAATAAGTATATTTATTTGATATTTATTTCCCAAGGAGGCAGTGTACCACACTACAAAACAAAAGAACACACACACGTATACATACACATACTTAGTCTTTAGCTTCATGAAACTGGGTTTGAATCCCAGTTCTGCCATTTATTATACTTATGATCTGGGACAAGCTCATGATATTTCCAAACATCAGAATTGTCTAATCAAACTTATTCTTACGTTTCCTTTCCAATGCATTCTTCAGATGAGAGTTACCTCCTCATCAACCAAGATAATCCCTTAGGGGTGTTTCTCCTGATATCCAAAGTAGAAGATGAATTTAATTCTGTCTAAAGAAAGGAAGAACACTGGATGATAGGGACAGGATTTGTGGTCTTTAACTATAAATCCTTTTATTTAATTGGCAGACTCTTTTATTATATTTTGAGGAATGTGGCTTCCTTTTGACCCTACTTTCTAAAAGCTGGTCTGGTCAAGACAAGCCTATCTATAACTCCTAATTACTTTTTCCTGCCTGAGATCTATAGGGCAGGTTTATTCCAGTTTACACGTGACCTCTCACTAAGAATTTTACTTTGTTTTGACATTCACACAATATATAACTGTTTTACATACCACTTGTGTCGATGTACTTGCTAACAAACAACCCTGAGACTTGCCACTAATTACCAGTCAGAAATTTGAAAGTTATCAAGAAATATCCTTGTAGATGTTAAGTTTGGTTCTATTTCTTCTCTAAACTCATAACTAGGTCCCCTCTAAACTCATGCTTCATTATTTCTATAACATTGACACTATCTGTCAGTAGAACTGACAACCTGGTGAGATATAGATGAATATGTTCAAGCACACACTGGATGTCTACTAGAAGGAGATGTAGAGAAAACTGAAATAATAGTAGTGACACTTGATCAGTGGGTCTCAAATGGTAATGTGTACCATATCCATCTACCACATTTTTACTGCAGCTTTATCATACTACCAGTATAATATTTTATTTGTGATTGTTTTGGCAATAAAATATATTTCTAAAATACTCTAATGCATTCATATATCATTGTGTCACTGAAAAGTAAAATAATTTATATGCAACTGATTATGATTTTCATTTGTTTCTTTGTTTACCATACAAAAATAACATATAATGAAGTGTAATTTTGCTTTTCTGTTGAGTTTTCAACTGAAATTAAAATTTTTAACAGGTTACACACTAGGTTTCCATAGTAGGATTAGGAAGCATGGCCCTTGTGTGGCTTATCCACCTAGGGACGTGTGTGTGTGTGTGTGTGTGTGTTTTCCCAGGGCTATTTTTGGTAGCTATCAAAGGCAAAGTTAAAGGCTTCTAGAGACAGAGTAGGGAAGAGTAGTCAGCTAACCCCTAATGACAAGATGTCTTTTAATAAACTCTCACTAAATAACGTAATTTAATAGTTAAATTGAAAACCCAAAAAGACAGGAAATTCAGTAAATGTTTGGATGAAAGAATAAATGAAGAGACTTCAGTATACAACTGTTGCAAATAAGTGGACTGTGGCTAGAAATCGGTGAGTAGTTAGCTGAGGTTTAATAATAGTTTCATGGCCGGGAGCAGTGGCTCACGCCTGTAATCCCAACACTTTGGGAGGCCAAGGCTGGTGGATCACAAGGTCTGGAGTTCGAGACCAGCCTGGCCAATATGGTGAAACCCCATCTCTACTAAAAATACAAAAATTCACCGGGTGTGGTGGCACGCACCTGTAGTCCCCGCTACTCAGGAGACTGAGGCAGAAGACTCGCTTGAACCCAGGAGGGAGAGGTTGCAGTGAGCCGAGATCATGTCACTGTACTCCAGCCTGGGCGACAGAATGAGACTCCATCTCAAATAATAATGATAATAATAATAATAATAATAATAATTTTGTATCTGGACATTTGGAGTATAGTCGACATTAGGTTTAATAATGTAATCTGTTTAACAGTAAAGAACGCCTAAATTAGTATATTGTTTTCCAACTATTCTAGCTGATACTTGGGAAATTTACTGGGAACACTTAACTTTTTCTACTGTTTTCATTGTTCGAATTGTAAGATTCACAGTTATATTCATCAAAAGAAAAATAAACATTCTCAGACATGCAGTAGGGGTTATCCTTAAAAAATATTTCTGTAAGTTATAAAAGGCAGTACATCTAAAATAATTTAACAGTAGTCTCGATGCTAATACAGCATTGGAATTGGAATCTGAATAAAATTGTAGCAGTTGTAAAAGTTGCACAAAAAGAAGCAAACCTGGCTCATAATACGCAGTTACTTTAAGAATGAGACCAAATAAGCCCTTTTAGTTATTTGCAAGAGAATCAGAAGTAGCTATTCAGAAGTTTTCCCCAAAATGAACTGATTTGAAATACCACAGATGATTAAAATTTCTCTAGTTGCTAATCACCTTTTTGTTGTTTTAAATAAACATCATCTAGATAGATGTTATCCTTCAGATAAATCCCTGAGGGAAACCTATGTGCTGATTATAAACATGTTACCATTTCTGACCTGTTTTGCATGTTTTACTGAACTGCCCTGCCAACCTATAAAAATAAGTAAATAAATATCACTACTTACAAATAAGTACATAAATATCACTACTTAATAACCCACATTGGCCGGGCGCAGTGGCTCAAGCCTGTAATCCCAGCACTTTGGGAGGCCGAGACGGGCTGATCACGAGGTTAGGAGATCGAGACCATCCTGGCTAACATGGTGAAACCCTGTCTCTACTAAAAAATACAAAAAACTATCCGGGCGAGGTGGCGGGCGCCTGTAGTCCCAGCTACTCGGGAGGCTGAGGCAGGAGAATGGTGTGAACCCGGGAGGCGGAGCTTGCAGTGAGCTGAGATCCGGCCACTGCACTGCAGCCTGGGTGACAGAGAGAGACTCTGCCTCAAACAAACAAACAAACAAAAAACATTATTTTTGGACTAAAAAGTATTTTTCAGCTTGAATACCTTATTCTCCATATTTGGGTATTTGTTTATTTATAAAAGTTATTTTCATCTAAACAATTAAAGAGTTGCCAACATTGATATTTTGGGCTGGAGTCCAGTCTTAGCCCATGGATATCAGAGTGCCACTTTCACCAGATAATTCCAAAGAGTTGTTGAGAAATACCTTGAGAAATAGCAGCATCATATATGTATGTATGTATGTTTGTATGTATTTGTGAGGTGATTAAAGAAAACGATGTTTGGGTAAAGTCTAGTATTGTCTGTTTAAAATGAAGTTACATTATCTTATATTGTATATGGGTTGTTTCTTATATTATTTTTGTTCTGAAATTAACAGTTTTACATTTTCTTCCAAAATAATGTAATTGCTATTTATCTGATATATTTCGTAACTTTATTATGAGCCTAAAATTATGAAGTAGAAAAAACAGAACCTTCCTTTTTCTTTTTTCTTTTTTTAGACTGCAACAAAATCACAATTAAATCCAGCCTTTGAAGATGCCTGGAGCAGCAGTGATGAAGAAGGATGAATATCACCTTTAGTACCTTTGTGTCTCTGCTGAAACTTTTTAAATGAGACCGTATGTTTTTTTCAACTGTACGGTCTATTCCTGACAGCTAAATTAGCCCTAAATGTGGGTAATTTTTTTCCTCATGTTTTAAAATGAGGTTAATATTTGCATAAAATTCTAAAACAGGCTTCTGTGTAGTTTATTTAGTCAAAATGTGTTCCTTGATCCCAGATGCTGTGGCCTGGGGAAGCCCTCCTTGCTACAGTACAAGTACACAAGTCATTGTACCTCAATTGTGACCTTCAGCAGATTTTATGAACTATAAGATGCAGTCTCAGAGGATCAGCAAGTGGAGGCCACCAGTATTGACTTTCTCTTACTTGCTATACTATCAGCCTGCTCATTTCCACCTTCAAGAATGATTTTGCCAAGAATAATTATATCAAAAATAGTAGTTGAAATGGTAACATCAAAATTATTTTATTCTTTCTTCTTCATGTATTCACATTTTTCAATGGTTTCATTTAATTAACCATGCTTTATGTTAAACATTTTTGGGCTTAATGTCTCCTACAATCCAAAATGTGCATCACAGGAGGCTTTTAACTTTGTGAAAATCCCATGTTTGCTTTGTTTTATTTTAATGTCAGAAGGCAGTTTGCACTAATGCTTGAACTCTTTTTTTTATGAAACTCATTAAGATATGACGAAATCCTGCCTCATTAATTCAAGCAGAAAATATCCTGGTGGGGAATCTGGCTTAAATATGAAATGTTGTAATAAAATTTCTATGTTACTGTCTCCTGTGTCAACCCACAAGTGATTATCATGAAGGTAATCTTAATATTCCCTTCCTGATCCTTACCAGCAGTAGACTAGTAAATGAGGCTTTTATGAGTTTGAATACCAAAAGTATACAGTTGTTGAGGGGTTGTTTTGTTTTGTTTTGTTTTCTGAGATGGAGTTTCACTCTGTCACCCAGGCTGGAGTACAGTGTTGTCATCTCGGCTCACTGCAACCTTCGCCTCCCAGGTTCAAGCAATTCTTCTGCCTCAGCCTCCCAAGTAGATGGGATTATAGGCTCCCGCCATGGCGCCTGGCTAATTTTTTGTATTTTTAGTAGAGATGGTGTTTCACCATGTTGGCCAGGCTGGTCGTGAACTACTGACCTCAAATGATCCACCCGCCTCAGCCTCTCCAAGTGCTGGGATTACAGGCGTGAGCCACTTCACCCGGCCAGTTGTTCAGTTTTTAAGTGTATAAGGGTTAGACCTCATATCAGACCTTTCCAGCTAAATGTTTTCCAAGCACCTGCTTTTACAATTGATTTTTTTTTAATTGACAGATAAAATTGTATGTATTTACCATGTACAACATACTGTGTTGAAGCATGTATACATTATAGAATGACTAAATCTAGCTAACTGACATATGCATTACCTCACATAGTGACCATTTTTGTGGTAAGAACACTTTACATCCATTCTCTTATCATTTTTCAAAATTAATTGTAATCTTGTAACTAGAGTTACTATGTTGTGCAATAGGTCTCTTGCACTAATTCCCCCTATTTAACTGAAGTTTTGTATCCTTTGACCAATGTCTCTCCAACCACCCTAGCTCCTGGTAACCACCATTCTACTCTCTACTTCTATGAGATCAGCTGTTTGCGTATGTGTACCACATTTTCTTTATCCATTCAACCATTGATAGATGCTTAGGTTGATGCTATATCCTGGCTATTGTGAATAATGCTGCAATGAACCTGGTAGTGCAGATATCTCTTTGACATACTGATTTCATATCCTTTGGATATAAGCCCAGTAGTAGGATTGCTGGATCATATGTAGTTCTATTTTTAACTTTTTGCAGAACTTCCATACTGTCTTCCATAATGGCTGTACTAATTTACATTCCTACCAAGAATATGCAAGAATTCCTTTTTCTCCACATCGTTGCCAACACTTGTTATCTTTTGTCTTATTGATAATAGCCGTTCTAACAGGTGTTAGGTGATATCTCATTGTTTTAATTTGCATTTCCCTGGTGACTGCTGATGTTGATAATTTTTTCACATATCTGCTGGCCATTTGCATGTCTTCTTTTGAGAACTGTCTTTTCAGGTTCTTTGCCCATTTTTAAATGGGTAATTTTCCTGCTATTGAGTTGACTTTCTTATGTATTTTGGATATTAACTCCTTATCAGATCTATAGTTTATAAATATTTTTTCTCCATTCTGTAGGTTGTATCTCCATTCTGTAGGTTGTACCCTATTGTTTCCTTTGCTGTGCAGAAGCTTTTTAGTTTCATGTAATTTCATTTCTGTACTTGTGCTTTTGTTATTGTGCTGTTGAGATCATATCAAGCTGGGATTACAGGCATGCGCCACCATGCCCGGCTTATTTTGTATTTTTAGTAGAGACAGGGTTTCTCCATGTTGGTCAGGCTGATCTCGAACTCCTGACCTCAGGTGATCTGCCCACTTTGGCCTCCCAAAGTGCTGGGATTACAGGCATGAGCCCACCGCGGCCGGCCTGTAGTCAGCTCTTTAAGGCAACAATTTATTGGCTCAGGTGACTGGCACAAGCCACTTCTCTTTTGCTCATTTCATCCTTTGTGGCAAGGATCAGCAACAGTGCTAAATGAGAGTTTGTCAACACCTTCTGTAAAAACACCAGCAGGAGCCGGAGAGCTGCTTCTCCCATGTGGCTCAGACACTTAATTCCAGCTTCTCTACGCCCTGCATGATGGTATCATCCACTGTTGTGTAAATCTGTATGTTTTCTAAATAAATACACTGTTCAAAGTTATGCTGAAACAACATTCCTAATAAGTCTTTGAGAACTGAGTTATTAACTTTTTATTGTACTATTGTAATGGTTTCTTATATATATTATATATGCAAAATGCAGAGGACTATGGAAAAAGTTATTAGAATAAATCACTGATGATCACTATGGACATTACAGAATGGTAAGATTATTTTTTAAATCATAATAGTTTTATTAAAAAAAATAAGGCTGGGAGCAGTGGCTCACACCTGTAATCCCAGCACTTTGGGCATCAGAGGCAGGAGAATCGCTTGAACCCTAAAGGCAGAGGTTGCACGGGGCTGAGATCGCCCCACTGCACTCCACTATGGGTGACAGAGCGAGACTCTGTCTCAAAAAAAATGAAAAGAAAAGAAAGAGAAATAAATAACAGTGGACTGGAAATCAAAAGGCCTGAGTCCGTCTTAGGTAACTAACAAGGAAACACATATATTTGGATATTTTTTACCTTCTTTTTTTCATTGGTTAAAAATGAAGGAAGCGTCGGGCGTGGTGGCTCACACCTGTAATCCCAGCACTTTGGGAGGCTGAGGTGGGCAGATCATGAGGTCAAGAGATCGAGACCATCCTGGCTAACACAGTGAAACTCCATCTTTAGTAAAAATATAAAAAAAAAATTAGGCAGGCACCGGTAGTCCCAGCCACTCCGGAGGCTGAGGCAGGAAATGGCGTGAACCCCAGAGGCATGTGAGATCGCACCACTGCACTCCAGCCTGGGCAACACAGCGAGACTCCATCTCAAAAAAAATAAAAGGAAGGGGATAGAAAACTGGAATAGAAAATTATTAAGGTTTATTCCCACTCTGAAATCACATGTTGTCATATTTAGAAAGCATTTTAAAATGGTATGCATAAATAATTAGAGGCTTATGTTCAAAACTAATTAAAGTTCATTGAAGGCAGAGGTAGAGTGTCATTATAAAAGTTTCATGAATTGTCTTAATAGTGAAAGAACACTCAAATTCTAATGGAATGAATTTTGCCTGAATTACACTTTTAAAGTAAAGTTTCCATGTGAATTATTATGAAGCCATCATTGATCAGCTATTTGATTTTGAAAGTTTCTTCATTTGTAGAAAGGGAATAAAATACCCCTTAGAAAGTTGTAAGAATAAATGAAATAAACTTCTGAATTATAAGAATCACTCAGCCAATAGAATTCTGTTTTTTTTTTTGAGATGGAGTCTCACTCTGTCGCCCAGGCTGGAATGCAGTGGTGCAATCTTGACTCTTTGCAAGCTCAGCCTCCCAGGTTCACGCCATCCACCTGCCTCAGCCTCCCCAGTAGCTGGGACTACAGGTGCCCGCCACCACGCCTGGCTAATTTTTTGTATTTTTAGTAGAGATGGGGTTTCAACATGTTAGCCAGGATGGTCTCGATCTCGTGACCTCATGATCCGCCCGACTCTGCCTCCCAAAGTGCTGGCATTACAGGCGTGAGCCACCGCGCCTGGCCAATAGCACTGTTTTTACTTAAAAACCTCAGGATTATTGGGCTCTGAGCTCTTGTCAAAATTCACTCAAATTTCACCTTCTCCAGGACATGATCTGCTTATTTAGTCTTTCTCTCCCTTCTAAAATATATACTCCATAAGGGCAGAGATTTTTGTTCTTACTGCTCTCCAGCACCTGGAAAACTGCTTGGCAGATAGTTGATGCCAAAAAATACATATTTTTTAAAATTAATTAGGGAACAACACAATTACCAAGCACTTAACTACGAACCAATAGCTCTACTTCACAAATGATTAAGTTCTTAATTGGTTATTATTTCTGTAATTTATGATGTATGAATTTTTTAAGGTGTTATGAAATACTAGTTGATAAGCTGGGTATCACATTAATCTTACAGTTTTTCTTCTCACAGTATGGCAGAGGGTTCCATTCTCTAAGTTGCTATTGGCCTGTACACCCAACACAGATCCTCCCTGCATCTTTCTAGTGGGCTCTTGGGGCTTAGTAATTTTCTCCCATAGACAGGTTATATTGAGACTTGCCTTGTGACTCAACAGCAAAACAAAAGTAAGAGAACTTTAGGAAATCTTGAGTTCAGATTTTTTAAATAAGATCTTCACTTCTAGTCTGCTCCCATTTGGCAATATGGTTGGACTGAATTTCTCCATTGCCCTTGACTCTAAAGTTCTGGACTTTCTGCTCTTGTTTTCCTCCATTATGGAAAAATGACAAATTGTTCTGAAAAGTCTGAATGTTTCAGGTCACTGCTTTGTACCCAGAAAAAAATGCAGGAAATCTCAAATCCTCACAAAGGGCAGGAGGACATGGTAAATTAATGAAAGAGTCGGGGTAGCAAGAATCAAATGTAAGAATTTTATTTTTTGTATTGTACTGTGGCATAAGAATGTAACATAACTATATTAGAGATTAAATTTTCTGATGTAAAATTCAAATATCCAATTAAAAATAGGTATTTTGATTATATTTTTCTTCTATAAATATTTTTGCCTGCCGGGCATGGTGGCTCACGCCTGTAATCCCAGTACTTCGGGAGGCCAAGGCGGGCAGATCACAAGGTCAGGAGATCAAGACCATCTTGGCTAACACAGTGAAACCCCGTCTCTATTAAAAATACAAAAAATCAGCCAGGTGTGGTGGCAGGCACCTGTAGTCCCAGCTACTCGGGAGGCTGAGGCAGGAGAATGGCGTGAACCTGGGAGGCGGAGCTTGCAGTGAGCCGAGATCACGCCACTGTACGCCAACCTGGGTGACAGAGCGAGACTCCGTCTCAAAAATAAATAAATAAATAAATAAATAAATATTTTTGCCTGGAACCAGAGAATTGTGACAGTTTCTCCTGCCCTATTTGGGGTCAATATTTTAGTCCAATAAATAAAAAAGTTTTTCACGGCCGGGCGCGGTGGCTCAAGCCTGTAATCCCAGCACTTTGGGAGGCCGAGACGGGCGGATCACTAGGTCAGGAGATCGAGACCATCCTGGCTAACAGGGTGAAACCCCGTCTCTACTAAAAAATACAAAAAGCTAGCCGGGCGACGTGGCGGGCGCCTGTAGTCCCAGCTACCCGGGAGGCTGAGGCAGGAGAATGGCGTGAACCCGGGAGGCGGAGCTTGCAGTGAGCTGAGATCCGGCCACTGCACTCCAGCCCGGGGACAGAGCGAGACTCCGTCTCAAAAAAAAAAAAAAAAAAAAAAAAAGTTTTTCACAGACATGGTTTTTCTAAAATAGATTTCCTTGCTCAGTTTTGTTTTTTGTGGGTTTTGTTTTGTTTTTTTTTTTTTTCATACACTTAAAATAGCTACCTGGGCCGGACATGGTGGCTCATGCCTGTAATCCCAGCACTTTGGGAGGCTGAGGCAGGCAGATTACCTGAGGTCAGGAGTTCGAGAGCAGTCTGGCCAACATGGTGAAACCCCGTCTCTACAAAAATACAAAAACTAGCCAGGCGTGGTGGCGCATGCCCATAATCCCAGCTACTTGGGAAGCTGAGGAGGGAGAATCACTTGAACCCGGGAGGCAGAGGTTGCAGTGAGCTGAGATTGTGCCATTGTACTCCAGCCTGGATAACAGAGTGAGACTCTGTCTCAAAAAATAATAATAAATATCAACATGAGTTATTTATATAATTCAGTTCAAGGTTAGTTTTCAAAACTACAGTATACTGTGGTAACTTCAATTTTTGAGCTCTTATTTTTTTTTTTTCTTTTTTTTTTTTTGAAATGGAGTCTTGCCCTGTCGCCCAGGCTGCAGTGCAATGGCGTGATCTCAGCTCACTGCAAACTCCGCCTCCCGGGTTCAAGCGATTCTCCTGCCTCAGCCTCCGGAGTAGCTGGGATTACAGGTGCATGCCACCACGTCTGGCTAATTTTTGTATTTTCAGTAGAGACAGGGTTTCACCATGTTGGCCAGGCTGGTCTTAAACTCCTGCCGTCAGGTAATCTGCCCACCTCCGCCTCTCAAAGTGCTGGGATTACAAGAGTGAGCCACCACGCCCGGCCTTACCATTATTAATATTAGTTTAAAAAAAGCGGCCGGGCACGTTGGCTCACGCCTATAATCCCAGCACTTTGGGAGGCTGAAGCAGGCAGATCACGAGGTCAGGAGATCAAGACCATCCTGGCTAACACGGTGAAACCCCATCTCTACTAAAAATACAAAAAAAAAAAAAAAAATTAGCCAGGCGTTGTGGCACATACCTGTAGTCCCAGCTACTTGGAAGCTGAGGCAGGAGAATCCTTGAACCCGGGATGCAGAGGTTGCAATGAGCTAAGATTGTGCCACTGACTGCAGCCAGGGCAACAAAGCCCACTCTGTCTCAAAAAAAAAAGAAAAAGAAAAAAGGCAAACTGATCCAAGTTCCTTCATTTTTATAAATTTTAAACTCAACTATTTTGGAATTCAATTCTTAGCCCCCCGAGGGGTAAACATCACTTAAATTTCTGGAAAATAACTTCTGCATGTGAAAGGCCAGATTTTTCCTGGCTGAATTTCCCAAAGACACAGTTTGGCAAGAAATTCGATCAATAAAATGGTTATGAACATAGTTGCAGAAAAATAGAGTGTATGTAACTGGTTATGAACATACGCTCATTTGTGTAACTGGTTATAAACATACTTGCAGAGAAATAGAGTGTATATAATCTCAACCAAAGGCACAATCTTTGACTAAATCTTTAACTAACACTTGCTTTAGACAACACAAACCAATTTCTCACAACCATCCAAGAAAAGATCTCCAGTTTCGTACCTCTTCTATTGTGCACAATTTATCAAGTAAAGCATGGATATGCCTCCTGTGGTTCAAACCATGGTAGCACATCCATTTCATAGGATGAACTACTACATTCATAACATGTTTTCTTTTTCAGTTAAACATTACTCCTATTGAATTATGAAACAAACATCATATGACTTGTGCAAATTGCCTCTGTGGGTTTACATTTTCTAAACCAAGTTCGGTGTTAACATTGATTTGCTGGAGTACCTCCTGCAGTCCTGTTTATAAGCACTTCACTCAACACACAAAAATGATTTCCTGATGTACCCACTGCTGTCACAATGTTCAAGTTATTCAAGGCCAGTCACAGTGGCTCACACCTGTAATCCCAACACAGAGAGGCCAAGGTGGGAGGATTGCTTGAGGCCAAGAATTTGAGA